TATATATATATATTATTGAAATTTTAGGGTTTGTTACTTGGTGGCTAAGTCACTTTTTTCCTATAAATAGAGGGGTTTTATTCCACTGTAATTCATCCCAAATCAATAAGAATTCTCTCTTTACTTTTCTCTGCAATACTCTTCTTCTTCTTTTATTGTTTTATGACACGTTATCAGCGAGACTCTAACCAATTGAGTAAAGACACCTACTTTGGTCACCAGACTTTGGGATAAGTGTATGGTGCTCAATTGTACATAGTATTGAATATAATGATTGTCAATTGATCCATGAACTTCCTTCAGGAATAAATTTTGGATTTAAGGTAAGTATTTTACCTTGTTTTTCTCTTTTAAATTTTTGAAATTCTATAATTTAATTTTAAATACAAGCAAAGACAATAAATTTTGATTATAACTCTAATAGAGTTTGTGAGAAATTATAACCACCTGAAGTGATAAAATTTCTATTTCTTACCATGATCAAATTCATGTATGATTATGAGCACAAGAAATAAAAATTCGTCATATTGAATTCGATTCATTCTCGTTGCCTTAAGAGAATATGGTAGCAATATGCAATAAGTCTGAAAGAAGAGACAAAATTATTACCGTGAAGGTATCAATGGATGTAGACATAGTAATAGACGAAATTATAATCGTCAGTGTGGTAATGAGAATAATAAGGATTCTCAAAATAGTCCCCCACTATGTGAAAGTAATGTTTGTCATCTATTTGACACGAGATTTTGTAAAGCACATATAAATGATTATGGTTCATGCATGATGTGAATGTGACAACATCTGATTTATGAATACATATTCATTCTTGGAAGAATATGAATGTTCTAGTGGTAGTGGATATACCACACTAATCTCTAGAAAGAGGTTTGAGATTAAATAAGAAAACAATTTCATTATTATGGCATGAATGGCCATTGATCACGTACTTATTGTGATTACGCCAAAATATTATGGCAATGTAATTATTACATGTTAGAAGTAATAGAAGCAACATATCTTGTCTATGATGATTTTGACCATAATGGTATAACTTTCTCCTTGAAAGAGATATTCACCATATGGATGTTGATGAATATATGGCAGTACAAAATTAATTGAAAGCTCTAGAAGAGCCAGTTATACTAATTTGAAGAAATAAAATTGATTATCAATAAGGTATAGTCTCATAGTAAGTCTCAAAGAAACGTATTGAGTTTCTAAAATATTCGCGAAAGCGATTGATTATATTGAGACTATAAATAAAGGAAAGATTTAATATCTTCTATTACTACAACTTGTAGCAGGGTAATATATATGTAAAAAGTTACACGTTTTATTCTCTGGTTTGTACTATAGAAACAAAAGAATGCCACAATAAAGTAGAAGATTATTGATATAAAAACCCATATCATAATAAACTTGGAGTATTGATAATTGCACACGTCATGTTGTAAATCTAAAGTTTATCAATATTGATAATTTATCTGTTGGCAAAATTGATTTAGCCATGTTAATTTAAGTATGTTGTGCAAAAATAAAAGAGAATTCACATGGGTAATATTAAAGAACTAGAAAGTTCTTTAAATTCTCTTATGTTGCTTGTTCTCATTAGTTAATAGACCAACTAAAATTGGGATTGAATCCCATGAATGCTGAAAATATCAATGGTGAATATGAGTCCATTCAATTGTCATGTATACCACGTAAGATGCATCTATGAGATGGTTACATGTGCGATTATTATTAACCCATAACCTGATGTTTGCAAGGTAACTTGCTCAATTATTTAATTTCGAACATAATTTTCATATTTTCTATTCAAGACATTC